ATTAACTTCTAGATGCCAAAGGATAATCTGCTCCAGTTTTGTTGCACCCCAATGGTAAATTTTGAAGAATAATTAACAAATAAACTGATATTTTCAAGATACACCACTTATAAATTTTATTTTTGGGCGAGTCATTTGATGTTTCTGAATGTTAATTCTTTACTTTCAAAATCAAATTAACGTTTGTTTTTGTATGACTTCCAAGATAATTATTTTTGGGGAATCACGTTAAGTAATGTATACAAAATATTTTATAGTTTAGAGAGATATACATCATCCCTGACCCTAGCTTTACTATTACTTTAGAAACATAAGATATATTGTGGCATTACAGTGAGCGTCAACACAGTAATCCTCAAAATTTACTAAACTTAGGGTATGCCCTGCTACTGAATTTCTTTATATTTAATCTCTGATCAAGTCCTCTATATCTGCTGCTATGGGAAAAAATTAAAATGTGAATGATAAAAAGGCTTGACTGATGTCTTAGTCTGAGCTGCTGTAACTGAATACCATAGACTGGGTGCTTTATAAATAACAGAAATTTATTTCTCATAGTGCTAGAAGCTGAAAGTCCTAGATCAAAGTGATCTAGGTTGGATTCTGGTGAGGGGCCTCTTCGTACTTTTTGGTATATTTTCATGTAGAAAGCAGGCTAAAAAGCTCTCTGGGGTCTCTTTATATAATGGTACTAATCCCATTTCTGAAGGCTTTGCCTTTATGCCCTAATTACCTCCCAAACGCCCCATATCTTAATACCATCACCTTGGGGGTTAGGATTTCAACATGTAAATTTTGAGAACACACAATATTCAATCCATAACAACAAGTGAGGCAAAGCTTTAAAAAAAAAATTCATTCAAAGTCAGTGCTCTATCAATTGGAATTAGTGATTTCATAAGTAAAGAACCCATAAATGTAATTACTAAAGTTTATTGCTCTCTTTCAAAAAGAAGAAGTTCTGTTAATGGATAAAGAGCCAACCAGTAAAAGTACAAGATGATTTTACCTAGAATACAATTAATTGGGTGTTGTGAGTAAAATGATTAAATAATCCCAATACTTAATTAAATATTTGCTTCACGTATTTCTCTAAACCTAGTCAACCACACAAACTATTAGTAAGCACAATGGATAGTAGGTAAATAACAACATTGCTTCCATTAGTATACCTTTTAAATGAATAGACAGGAATTCAGATCTAAAACACAAGAAGTCCATGCTGTCAATATGTGGGAGGCAAACTTTATACACAGCATCATAACACTGGATCGGTGTTTCTCAAATTTACATATTGGACTACAACACCCTTTAAAAAAATAGAGTGTCAAAATGGATGTAGTTTCTTGTGTTGATTCAAATCATCTTAGTCATATATTATATCATATCATTATTATTACATTAAACATGTAGATTCACAAACCACATATAAATTAACACCTGAAACTAATTAATAGCTTCTAAATCTTGTACACTTAAGAAACCTAAACAAGTAAATTACAAATTCATAAAGGAAACTCAATCAAATTTTAATGAGCATATTTGTGTGCTACCTCTTTTGATTTCATCTAATTTTCCCCAATGTCAAAAATTACTTGTTTTGGTGGAAATCATCCTGTCCTACCCAAGCACAAAACTAAGTGTACATGCTCATTTATGTCCAAAATTCCAAAAAAAAATTCTCAGAGGTAGAAGAATAATCATGTAGAAAATATCAGTCAAAAGAGAAAATATATTAAGCCCCTAGCATTAAACAGTTAAAATTATCCGACTATACTTCTGTTCAGAATATACACACATTTGCATATTTTCTCATCAAATAGATAAGCGACCATTGTGAATCAGATGCACAAGAGACAAGCAGCATGACTACCCATTAGTCATGATAATAGGTACAAATGCCTGGCTTTGAAGAAAAGGCCTATCATAACCATGGCTCTTTTACATTCACGACTAGATTCTAGGAATGCTGTATATAGATAGTCAAATTGCTCACCTAGTTTCAAAAATATTGAAATTCCAACTCTCAGTGTAAAGTTACTTAAAAATGTAAGTGAAAATGACTGTTAGTCATCAGTGAAGCCTTCTCACTTCATTGTAAGCCCAAGCAGAAACATGATCTCTGAATCACAGTATATTGTCAAACACCAAGGGATGGCACGTTACATAATGACTGGATGATCAACAGTGCAGACACTTCCTGTAGCAGGAAAGGGCACCCATAGTGTGTGTCACTCAATATGCTAGACTCCAGTGCATATTTTTCTTTGAGAATAAAATTAGGTTTAGCTCTCTGTGAAACATTTGAAAGGTGGTATCAAAAAAAAGGAAAGAAAATGCTGCATTGAACTGATACACAGAACTGGTTTTTTCCAGTCTTTGCATGAAGGCTAAGGACACTAGACATTTGATTATATTTCTACCAACTGTTTAATGCTAATTCCAAGTACTTGAGGGCAGCCTTGATGCATAGCTAATCAATAAATAAATAGTGAAGTCTTCTACATAAAGGTAAAACGAGATAAATCATGGAGAGACTGTCTCATAATCAAAACTAAATCAAGTCTAACCATTCATGCCTGTCTGCTTTTTAAGAGCTCCTAGAAAATGATCTCTCTCTGTTCATCCCAAAATTTATTATTACAGGTTAATGTATCATTAGCATTAGTCAAGTTTATTTTTCCTAATCTTTCTTGTCTATGCACAGTCAAATAGTGTGCCGGGAGCCAGTTAACACCGGGCTCACAGAAGCTGTTTGGGTGTATCTTTTTCATCTTCATGTTTAGAAAACCACAGAGGTGGTTAAAATTGGTGATTGAGAAGTATTTCCACCAAATAAATCAGCAAACACAACAAATAAGTGCTTTGTCTCCCCCACTCTTGACACCCACAATGAGCAAGTTGTTAAATATTTATCAACACACCACTACACCTCAGTAGTATGTGTATTCACTGTGCTATGGATTACACAATTTGCCAAAAACAGGGAACAGAACAGTGCACCAAACAGAATCTTGTCCTCATACATCTAAACGGTCTTCTGCTGTTGCCCTGCTTACCACTACTAAAACGTGTTCCACCCATTCTTTAAGCCATCTCTATTTTACCTATATTTTACATGCTGTCTCCTTTACCTATATATTTAAAGCAGAAAGTTTTATACTTTGTTTTGTAAGGTTTGCTTACCACGATTCACACTGAAAATGGCAATAGCAAGAAGGCAGAGGAACACTTAGTTTTGGAATTGAGAGGAATGCTTTTAACATTTAAATAGAAAGACATCATTCATACACGCATTTTTTAAAACCAGTTCTTCTCTAATGTTTGCAGGGTTAGGGAAATATGTATTAATAGAGCATCCCTGTCTGGCCTTCCTCCTTCTCTTCCCACCCTCCTACTTTAACCTGCGACTCTGAGGTGTCTTATGCATAAGTGTGGTAAGGTAACCAACCCTCCCTTTTTTCCTGATACTGCAGGGTTATGCAGGATCCAAAATTTCATTGCTAAAATTGGTACAGTCCCAGGCAAACAGGATTGCTCAACCTTTATCCAAGAAAGGTAGAAACATTCTTCAATAAATAGCAATTACACTGCTGGGAGGAATGCAAACTAGTTCAACCTCTATGGAAAACAGTGTGGTGATTTCTAAAAGAACCAGAAATTGACCTTCCACATGACCCAGCAATCCTTCTACTGGGACTACAGCCAGAAGAACTCAGATCATTCTACAAAAAAGATACCTGCACATGCATGTTTATTGCAGCACTATTCACAATAGCAAAAACATGGAACCAACCATGCTGCCCATCAAAACTGGACTGGGTTTAAAAAATGTGGTATATACATAACGGAATGTTATGCAGCTATAAAGGACAAACATATGGACTTTGCAGCAACTTGGATGGACTTAGAGGCTATAATACTCAGTGATTTATCACAGAAACAAAGAACTGAGTACCACATGTTCTCACGCATAAGCAGACCCTGATCATTTACCATAATACTTGAAGAAAGGGGCCACGCTTGGTGGCTCAGCCTGTAATCCCGACCCTTGGGAGGCCGAGGTGAGTGGATTGCCTGAGCCCGCGGGTTCAAGACCCGCCTGGGCAACATGGCAAGATCTCATCTCCACAATAAATCAAAAAATCGGCCGAGTGTGGTAGCGTGCGCCTGTAGTTCCAGCTACTTGGAAGGCTGAGGCAGAAGGATCACCAGAGCCCAGCAGGTCGAGGCTGCAGCGGCCGGGAGTGGCCACTGCACTCCAGTCTGGGCGACAGAGTGAGACTCCGACTCAAAAAAAAAAAAAAAAAAAAACTTGAAGTAAGGGATTGGCAGTCGCCAGAAACGGCCCGGGGAGGGGGGGCACATAACATTAATAAGGGTACCTGATTGCAAACCAAGGAAAAGTGGGGACCAATGGGAGGCCCAAACTTTACCTTTACAATGTTCACTTGTATACCTAATGCTGAATTGTACATTTAAAAAAATCAGCCATTGATCTATACAAATGCTTACGGGGAGACAGGCTTTGGAAAATGAACGATTTAACCAAACTGGAAACTGTATGTTGAATAACCGTATGTTGAATAACTGGAGATCATTTCCTTCTAAAACTCTAGGAAAATATTATTCTACGCTTAAGGCAAAAACTAAGACAAGGGCTCTAAGCGCAAGATGGCCAGCAGGAGGAGAGCAGCTCTTCTGCAGTTGCACCACGGCTCCCTTTGTTACCCAGCGGCACACAGGACCCTCCACGAGCGGCCTCTTTGCTCGGCGTAGGAGCCAGTTCATCCTGGGCGGGAGGGCCAGGGCGCCCCGGCCTCTACGGTGGAGATGGTGACAGAGCCCCTCCCCAATTTTGTTGGGACTCGAGGGTTCCGGGGCGGGGCGGTGGGCGGTGTCACGTATATAAGCGCGAGAAGCGTGCCCCATGGGCCACGTCACGTAGATGAACGCAGGCGCAGGCGCAGGCGCATTGGGCGCTCTCTCCGTCGGATGCCGCGCTGAGGCTGTTGGTCTCGCCATGGGTCGCCGCCCAGCTCGCTGCTACCGTTACTGTAAGAACAAGCCATATCCAAAGTCTCGTTTCTGCCGTGGTGTGCCGGATGCCAAGATCCGCATCTTTGACCTGGGTCGGAAGAAGGCAAAAGTGGACGAGTTCCCACTGGGTGGCCACATGGTGTCCGACGAATACGAGCAGCTCTCGTCCGAGGCTCTGGAGGCCGCCCGCATTTGTGCCAACAAGTACATGGTGAAGAGTTGCGGCAAAGATGGCTTCCACATCCGAGTGCGGCTCCATCCCTTCCACGTCCTCCGCATCAACAAGATGTTGTCCTGTGCCGGGGCTGACAGGCTCCAGACAGGGATGCGAGGCGCCTTTGGGAAGCCCCAGGGCACCGTGGCCAGGGTCCACATCGGCCAAGTCATCATGTCCATCCGCACCAAGCCTCAGAACAAGGAGCACGTGATTGAAGCCCTGCGGAGGGCCAAGTTCAAGTTCCCTGGACGTCAGAAGATCCATATCTCCAAGAAGTGGGGTTTTACCAGGTTTAACGCCGATGAGTTTGAGGACGAGGTGGCTAAGAAGCGCCTCCTCCCTGATGGCTGTGGAGTCAAATACGTCCCCAATCGTGGCCCCCTGGACAAATGGCGGGCTCTGCACAAGTGCAAGTGAGGGCTCTGTCAGCGCTGCCGCCTCGGGCCATGCCCCTGTGACTTGTGCTAATAAATTCTGTGTATTGGCAAAAAATAAATAGTAACTTTTAATCGTTTAAAAGGATGAGTCCACTTTTGAGACTGTAGACTACTAGAGACTTTTTAAAAAAAATTTACAGAGTTTTAGTGACAAGTGTTACCTTGCTTAAGCAAAAAACTGCAGTTTGTAGAGCAAGCTATTGCTATATTAATTCAAATACTTTAAACTTAGGAGAGTATAGGAACATGTTTTAAGAGTTTTATTTGTAGTAGGGTCATAATGCAGCTTCATTACCTTGAATAGAAAAAAAGAACTAAGATTAGTGTGAAAAAAATCCTTATTTTTTATAGACTATAAACTAAACAGGGATGAAAATGCTAGGCATTAGTGATATTTCAACTACAGCCTTTTCGAAACTAAATAGTCTTAGTTCTAATCTTGGTTGCTTATATTTTTCTGTACATTTCTGTACATTGTTTTTAGAATTCCCTTTCACCTCTGATGATCAGCCTTGGGACAGTTGGGTATCACTGAAAAAGATTTTTCTAGACAAGCCTTACATTATCTCCAGTCAGGAGACAACAGTCCAATCTTTTTTTCATCACATAAGGTCATAGGTGACAACAGAGTTCATATTGCTTGTATCTGGGTCCCAGTAGAACCAACAGAAGAGAGAAAATGTTACTAAATAGGCTATCTGTACTCTAAAAGAACCCTAGAGAGAGTTTGCATTCTGTAGGCGTTTGCCCTACATTAGGGCTGCATTGATCATACAGGTGTTTTTTGTTTTGTTTTAGAAATAATGTAAGCTAAAGTTACTGAGTTTATACTATATTTGTTTAAAATTCCTATTCTGTAGATTTAGAGTTAGTCTTCTGAATCTCAGTTCTGCAAAGGATACCTTCCATTTTCTTATACTTACCATCATTTTCAGAATCAACAGACTTAATAAAAGCAACAGCAGGAGTACTAATTTTCATTTACTTAGAAAAAAAAGTTGTTAATTCTAACATTGTATCTGGCTTGATGTTTCTTTCAGGCCTTTGCTGTAGTACACTTCCTATTTGTATATTTTTAAGCTAGGTTGATATTTTAAGCTTTAATGTTTTCATGTTATAAATAAACTTGAGAAGGATAACTCTCAAAAACATGATACTAAATATCCTGAGTATTTAGAAAGAACTCTTCAACTTAGGAAGCACTTTCCTAAATGTGTTTTATTTGATGCTTTGAAAACTCTTGAAGTTTTCTTTTAGAAATTAAGTCCTATGTAATTAATTAATAAATGAAAATGGACATGAACCAGTTCTTTTTACTCCAGTTCATTCCTGTTTTGTTACCACACAGTCTTTCTTTTTTAAATTTTTTTTTTTTGAGTCAGAGTCTCACTCTGTCACCCAGGCTGGAGTGCAGTGACGCAGTGGACCCAGGTGGTTCTTCTGCCTCAACCTCCTGAGACTACAGGTGCATGTAACCACACTTGGCTTTTTTTTTTTCAATTTTAATTTTTTTGTAAAGATGAGGTCTTGCTATGTTGTCCAACTTGAACTCCTGGGCTCAAGCAATCCTCCTTCTTAGGCCTCCCGGGGTGCTTGGATTACAGGTGCGCCACTGCACCCAGTCCACACTGTCTTTCAAAAACAAAAAATTCAATCTAAAAAAAAAATGTAATTTAAAACACAACAAAACACGCAGTTCCTTAACTAGTAGTACAACAGTGGTCCAGCTTTGAAAACACTTTCCATCTTCATTATTCACTTTTCTCTTTGTTTCTTAAACCTCTCTGTGTCTTGACCTGCAAACGTGGAACTCTCCGCTCACTAAATACACAGGAAAGCAGCTAAGGATAAGCTTCTTCACTTCTTTGCCCTAAGAGATTGGAACTATGATTGTTCATGCGATTAGATGTGTGGGTGAAGAGGAAATTAAAAACTATTACATTAAAAGAAAATAGTAGCTGTCAATAGTTTCATTTAACCTTTTCCTACAGTTTTGTGTATAAAAGATTATACGAAATTCTTTTTAAAAATGTTTATCTGGAGACAATTTTACTTGTTTTTCTTAAAAATCCTTTCTATTAATTTATATTTTCCAAGCCATGATTTTGGTTTTTGGTGTTTTTCTAATTTAGGGTCATACTAATTATTATTATTTTTTTGAGTTGGAGTCTCACTCTGTCGCCCAGACTGGAGTGCAGTGGCCGCTCCCGGCCACCGCAGCCTCTACCTGCTGGGCTCCGGGGATCCTTCTGCCTCAGCCTTCCAAGTAGCCGGAACCACAGGCGCACGCTGCCACACCTGACTAATTTTTTGATTTATTGTAGAGGTGAGGTCTTGCCAAATTGTCCAGGGGGGTCTCGAACCGGTGGGCTCAGGCAATCCACTCACCTCAGCCCCTCAAGGTGCAGGATTACATAATTATTTTTAAAATTGAAAAGACAATTGGGCTAAGGAATAATTTAATTATATTTTTGTAGGGCTCTTCATTATTTTAAAATTTTTATTCAAAATGGAAATTTAATTTGGGAACAGGTATTCACATATTTGCATTCGTGCTACTGCAATAAAACGGAACTGTTTGCCCATTTGAAATGAAAAAAATACAAGTACAGTTAACTGAATTCAAGTAAATACTACCAAATGAAACTTTTTGATTTAGTTGATGAAATCTCCATATTTTATGGAAAATACTGACTGAATAATATGATGAAGAAAACTTCAATAGAACTATGTACCACATCAATTTAGTTTTGTAAAGCACATTTTATAAGGGGTTATACAGTCATATCTACTCCCTCAAAATATAAAATTATATGAAGTGTATTTAGCTAAAAATCTTTAATTTTAATAAAAATACACACTAGCTCTGGCATGAATTGACTGTCATTAACATTGGCAGGCATTTCATTCCTGCTATAGCAACCTTGTACTGCCTACCGTGACATAATTCAAGCAGAGCTTTCTGGTTCTTAAAATGTCACTGTGGATCTAAGGACGGAGCTAAGACATCATTTTACCCCCAATCACTTCTTGCCTTTACATTAATGAAATAGTTTTGTTTTTTGTTTATATTTTGGCATATAACTGCATTTTCATAAAAATGCCTAAATATTTCAGAATCAAGGTAAAAAATAATGACTAAAGTCAAAATGAATTACATTGTACCTTCAATATAATTCAAAATTAGGTCATTGCCACGCTTAATGATGGATAAGAGGAAAAGTTCTGGTGTCGGGATGACTGAATTTGAATCTCAGCTTTTTCACTTTTATGAGCAAATTACTTAGTATCACCATTCTTTAATTTTGTCATCTATAAAATGAAGTTGTTTTAGAAGTAATGAGAATGTTTACTTCTAATAGTTAATGTTATTACATTTGCTCCAGCCTCACTGCTTCTTAACTTCTAATTTTTGGTGCTTGTAATGCTATTTTTTCATGATTTATGACCTTCATATTCTGTGTTTCAGTCATAATTCCTTCCAGTTATAAAGTCTTAGTTCTAGATTTAATTGAATTCAGTATTCTATTTTATCTTTAGTTTTGTACTTTCCACTTTCATATTTTTCTATTTTGTCATCTCTTTATGGAGATTGATTTAAAAAATAATTATGCTTTACTGGTTACCTTTTACATGTAACTCACTTATAAAGATTAACTTCTTTCCCCCCTCAATGACCGAATTTTTAAAATATACCTTAACCTTTTACTCAATATTTATTTTCTTTTTTTCTTTTTCTGTTTAAAAGACTAATTATATGGCTGTCATGTTGTCATTTTCATACTGCTTATGTGTAATGTAGACTCTTGTGCTCAGACCCATATAAGTGGGAAGGTTGGTGCATTTCTCTTGCCACCCTTCAGAAAGTTTTTGCTAATTTTTTTGTTCATTTAGGAACTTAGGATATTGAAATCTATCTGCTCTTCCATAGCTTTGGGATGAAAAGATGGGAAAAGGAGAGAATTTGGAGCCTTCAATAGATACTAGATTCTAATTCTTCTGTGATCTCATTAAATATCCTATGCTGAAGAGCCCACTCACTAAGCCAGGTCTGTAGTCCCCTCTTCTAACCATGACATCTTTATCCTTGTCCTAGTGCTATTCACTGAAGAATTCTGGAAAATGGCAAGTCCAGTTGCTGAACATCCTTGGTGTTGGTTGAGGCTCCATTTGTCAGTGGATTTTCCTACAGTTTTCTCTTATGCAAGTATAGGTGAAGCACATTTGCCTCCATATTAGGGTATTAATGAGGCATATTTTTTCATCTCACTTTTTTCAGAAATGTTTTCAAGAGGCTGGAGTGTTTTGAAAAGATACATTTAATAAACAATTGTCATATAATCCACATTTTCCCCAGTCCCTCACTGTTCAATGGAATTATATCAAGCATATTTAGCCAGAAATCTTTAATAAAAAATATAGTTTTGCCATATCACATGAGAATACTACCTTCATTTTTGTATCTTTTCTCCTAAATTTATTACATGTATATGTAACTTTTTTTAGTTGCTTTTGGTTATATTTCTTCTACCATATTTTGTTAATTTTGCTAGGTATTAGGGAAAGATTTTTAAAATTTTTTTATTGTGTTTGACTTCATCTTATTTATGCATATGTTATTTAATGTCATACCCCCAAATTACCTACTTTTACAGATTTTAATGTTTCAAACAACTCATTTAAAAACTCAGTGCTTTCACATGTTTATAAAACCTTCCAGTTATTTTTTGTTGTTGATCACAAATAATATCTAAAATACTTTGACTATAAAAATGATAAATTTTAATATCAATTCTAAAAGCATCAATTCTGTGTCCATACAGAATCTTAACAATTCTCATTGTTATAAATCAATTAATTTATATATTTAATTATATAAACTAAAAACTCTTGAGAGTTACTGATTAAGGGGTATTTTTGTACTCCAAATATAGAACCATATTTATAGTAGAAAATGTTGTATTTTGAGAACTGTGTTAATAAACACTTCAAGGGTTCTATTCATGAAATTCCATGCTGTTTCAAGTTGACTGGTTAATGATAAGTAGAAATACA